ACCGATTTAAACTGAAACAAAGTTTTGTTAAGTAACAAAAAAAAAAAAAAACTAACAGACCTAATGATTAAAGCATGAATAGTTAGAATGGAATAGGGCGAGTAGTGGGGCCCTATTCAAGTAAGCAGTATGTCTAAAGGAAATCATATAGTAAGAAACAATATTTAACCAACAAGCAAGTAACAAGAAAAATTTAAACCCAACTATAAATACAATCTAGCCTAGGTTATCAGTATCTTGGCAGAATAATAAATATAAAGAAGAAGGAGCAAACCTTATAGGAACATGAACAAATAAACCCACAAGAGTACAATACCTTGAAATAGTATATCTAGTATAGGCAAGTTCTACTAAATTATAACAAAAATCAACATCAAAGGTTGGAGTCTTGAAGCAAGCACTTTATCACTAAGGAAGGCATAGTATATAAGAAGAACAAAGATAATAAATGCAAAATGTTACAAGTTCTCCAAGAACACAAATTAGAGTCCTTATTATTCCAACTGCATAACTATCTGTTAGATGCCTATTTGAGTAAGAAAATCATGTTCAATAAAATACAAAACTAATACTATTGGCCACAAATGTATGAAGATATTCAAAAATATGTACAAACCTGTGAAAAATGTTAGCAAATAGGAAGCAAACTAACAAAAGAGCCATTGCACTCTATACCTGTAGAAGCAGCATTCTATAGAATCGACATCGATATAATAAGTCCTCTCCCTATAACAATTAAAAATAATAGATATATAGTAGTTGCAACTGACTATTTAACAAAATGACCAGAGGCCAAGGCAATACCACGAGACACAGCCAAGGAGGTGGCTAACTTTCTCTATGAAGAGATAATCTGTAGACATGGCTGCCCTAATTATATTTTACAGATCGAGGCTTTCATTTTTGAAATATGATGATTGATAATCTATTAGCAAAATTCCAAATTAAACACCAATATTTGACACCATACTACCCCAAACAAATGGCTTGATAGAACGATTCAACAAATCAATCTGCGTATCTCTAACAAAAGTGGTAAATAAATCTAATAAATAGGACTCATTCATTTAACCTATTCTATTTGCATACAGAACCGCAAGACACAGCTCTATACAGATGACTCCATTTTTTCTTGTATATAGAAAGGAGGCTAGGCAATCTACACATCCAAGTAAATCAGAACAATTATTAGAAGAAACACTTATACAAAGGATCTTTAATCTGGAACATGATCTATTTGAAGCTTGTAACCAAGCTATAGAAAATGTTTATAAAGCCCAGAACAAACAGAAGATCTATTATGACTACAAAATAAAAACCACCAATAGCTTCGTAATTGGGGATAAAGTATAGGCATACAATTCTAGAACAATGAATATACAAAGCCATAAGCTAGTTTCACAATGAAAAGGTTCCTATTATGTACATAACATCTTCCCAAATAGCGTATATAAACTAAGAAGCCTGGAAGGAAAAGTATTAGTAAACCTGTTTAATAAGAAGCTGTTAAAAATATATCATGATAGAAAGCTATATATAGGCATCTATCAAAAGAATAAAAGTGCTCCAAGATTAAAATACCCACAGATATCAATTTGCTTATTGATGATTTATTAGCAATACAGCCAACAACTGTTGTTCCTCCTCCATATATTGAATCAGAAGATATTGACACAAAAATGGATTTGACCTATCGATTCATGTTACGATCCACATAGGCAGAAAATTATATAAGGGTCTTAGCTTATACATATTACTTAGGAGCCCTAATCAAACAACTGACACCAGTACAACAAACCCTACAAAAGACAAAGATGACCAGACATTATTATACTGCCACTATCTGGGTATACAATGTATTTGAATTCATTGAAGTGGAGCAAATCAGTCAAACAATCTATATGAACTTGTCGAAAATTGCTCACCTTTCACTTCATGACTATCAGCAATTATTGCAAATCATGCTTTTGATGAATTTCATCTCCTTAACAGTAGGTGAACCCTCAACTGACTTGTATGCAGAAGAAGACAATTTTGATAACTTTCTACATTAAGCTATACATACCTACTTAAAAAAAAAAAAAAAATTTTTTTTCTTCTTTTTTTTCTCTTTTCTTTTTCTTTCTTCTTTTTTTTTTTTTTTTTCTTTTTTTCTTTCTTTCTTCTCTTTTTTGGCTTTTCTTTCTGAATAAGTACCATAATATAGTATTATTCGCATAGAACTCGAAAACAAGGCTGGAAAAATTGTAAGAGGGAAATCATCTAATACTGGTGTCGAGGTTGCTTGAGTCGATCTGGACCAAATTTAGTAAAAAGTTATCACAGCTGTCAGATATGATAGTTATGATAGCTATAACAGTTGTGGCAATAATAGCACATAGGGTAGAAGTAGTAAAAGTATTAGTAAAAGTCCTATAATAACTAAAATGTATATAAAGGTCCAATAGTTTAATTGAAATAAAGATAACTTCCCTTTCGAGTTCATAAATAAAAGAATAGTAGTATTTGTCCTGTTGAGTATCTCTTGAGTCATAATATGACTATTATATTTGATATTAAATTTTCTTGTTCCTGAGATTTGTTATTGCTAAAGAAAAAGAAAAATTGAATTAGTAATTGAGCTCCTTTATATAAAAACTGTTAGTTGATTAAGTTTGTAATTAACCCAATTATTAATAAACTTATGCAATTAAACTCAAATTGTGATTCCATGACACATGACTCTAAAATTCTGAATTGAAAGATGATTGAAACTCAGGTGCACTTGAAAAATAGAAAACTATCCTAGTGGATAGTATTAGTTATTGAACAAGAGACTATAATAGTAATAAAAGTGTTGGAATTAGTAATAAACCCAAGTCCAAAATATAATTAATAGCTTTAGAACAAGTTCTGTGACCTTCGCAGTATCTGAAAACACTCTATTCTCAGACCAAGTCAATTCATGCCTCGATCGAAGCCTACCAGTTAGAGTATAGAAAAAAATTTAAATAAATTTAGTGTTTCTAATCTTAGCTTTTGCTTAGTACAATCCTTGGCATCTGAGTCTTTTACTATATACAAATCTACACCATTACAGTGTACTCTAATTAACTCAAAATAATGTGCAAATGGGTATTATTTTGTGAAAATACAAAGTTTTCAACCTATTATCACAGGTTAGACAATGATTTATGCCATTGAACAAACTAGCTTAGATATTAAGCACTTCATGAACATGGTCTAGGCAGATTCAAAACACAATTATTAGTAAGTATTGGATTTATTTACTTATACTTATTTCTGCTTTATCATTCTTATTCTTGTTACTAAAAGAACCGTCCCTCTTTTATTTTATTTTCACTTCTCTTATATACTCTATTTGGCTCAAATTTATTACATTATAATTAATTATATGATCTATTAATTAACTTTGCTACCAATTTTATATACTATCTTTGACTTTTATATTGATTACACATATTTTATACATTGCTGCTATTACTGTTACTTACTATTTTTAACTCTTATATTAATTATATATATATATTTTTTTTTTTAAATATTAACGGTGAGGCTATGCCTTTAACTTTATTGAAATTCAATTGAAGTTTTTACAAAGAAAA